CGAAGTTCGCTAGGCTTGCAATAGTAGTGCTGCTAGTGCAAGACATTGATCGTTGTATCTTGGGAGATAGACGTCCATTGAATCCTAAGCACTGGTGGGAGGACGAATCTGTCTTAAGGAAAGAGTGTCACACACTCGACTCGATCAGGTTTTATCTTTTTATGTACTGTAAGTTTAATTACGTTATTATGTTAATTTATTTCAGTTTTTTGGTTTTGCCCAAAAAGCGTTTGCATAATTTTAAATTATATTTTCCATTTAGTTTGGTACTATTTTTCTAACAAAATCAACCCACTGATTCTGGTGAAGAACTTGGAGGCCACCTATTTGGTCTTGTAGAAGGATGGTCATGAAGGCAGAATCAGTGTGGCTGCTAGCTCCCAAAGTCAAATCCGATTCAGGGCAAGCAGGGTAGTAATTGTCGGACAATCTTCACTGTATTTAAAAGATTTAATTTTATTGTGTACAAAACAACAACTAGAATTTAAAGAAATAAAGAAAATGAGAGAATTTGTTTGATTACAAAAATCAAACTCTAAATAATAAATAAATCAATAAAAACAGATTTTATTTTGTTACAAAAACAAAATTAAAATCTGATTTAAATAAATAACAATAACACAAAAATTAATTAAATAACTTACTTGATTTAACTTTTTCGAATTATAATCTGATCAAGTCCAGTGTTTGACACTGTGTCCTTAAGACAGATTCGTCCTCTCCATGGTGCTTTCAGAATCTGGACGTCTATCTCCCAGGATAAAATGATCTATCAACGAATAAAAGCAGCACTACAATTTATTCGTTCGTCGAACACACTAAGTGTTTATACTCTCTGTAACAAGAACTTAATGCAAAATGAAGAATAAATTTATAGCAGGAGATGGAGTACGAAAATTGGAGTACTTTTTCAAATGGGGGGGCTTAGTCTATTTATAGATGGATTGGTGGCTTTCCATTTTGAATTAAACAGGTACTGTACCTGTTCAATTTGAATTAAACAGATACAAAACTGTTTAGGCACTGTTTGGTTTGAAATTCAAACAGATTTAGAGCTGTTGGGTTCAAAAAACGGAAGGGCCTTGTTTGGATGTACAGAATAAACCGGACCAGATTATTTCCGGTTAATTTGAATTATGGATTTTATTTTACCAAAAAATAAAACTAAATTCAAATGTTTTTGGCCCAAAAAGATTAGTATTGGGCCGAACAAGCCCAACCCAACCACACACCACACACCCGCGCCCAGGCCCAGCCCAGCCCGCTCGACCGACCAGACAGGCAGCGACGGCGGCGCGCGCGCATGCGCGTGTGTGGTGATTTTTTGGGTCCAATGGGTCTAGCTCATTTTGCCCATAACCTCTCCCTCTAAAACACTTGGGTATCCCTTGGGGCACACCCCAAGTACCAAACCCATGCCTTATAAACCCTTTCAAAACTTCCCACCAAATCAATGTGGGACAAGCCATTTTACAACCTTAAGAAATTTCTACCAAAACTCCATTTCCATGGAGCACACTTTGGCTTCAATTTTCCATTCACTCGGTAATAGTTTTGAGCAACCAAATATACCACGTGAATCATAACGCGGCATAGAACGCGTTACCACTTTGACCCGAGTAAATCGACACTCGGGGCCCACCTAAAAAATAGACCAAACTTGAGAAAAAATTCTGTTTTTACCCAGAATTTTTCTACCATTTCTAACAATCCCCCACATGAATGGAATGTGATGACAACAAAAATGAAACAATATGCAGACTTTAACGAAAGAGTATAAGTCGAAAATATCTTCCATCAAGATAGGTAGTTTTCGGCCTTGAACCTTCCCTAGTGATAACCTATCAGACTTACTGGCTAACCAATGGACGCGATGCCTTGAATTGTTCAGCCGTTTGTATAAGCCAAGACAATAGATTTCACACAAAATATCTTCTGACACATCGTGGTTCTCACTGTTGTGTTGATTTTGGCATTGAACGCACCTGGTTTTCATGAGTATTTCTAGAGAATGTAGCATTTTTCATTCTCATAGAACCTGCCCCAATTCAACACTGTAGACACCCCATTTTTGACCGACCTTAAGACTCAGACGTCACCAGTTGAGCGCTCGATGATGTTGCATATTGTGCTCGTTCTGAGGTTTCAGTCTCGGCTGCGAGCCTTGCCTCCGGACTTCGGAGCTCTTTTGTGCTTTGCCTCGGTTTGCGAACCAGGTCCTGTTTTCTCTGTTTTCTCTTCCCGAATGGAGGGAGAGGTCTCGTAGATCATCTCTCAGTGGCTGTAGGCTACGTTTCATGGTCGTAGGCCATTTTTTCCGTTTGGAGCCCGGTTTCCGGTTTTCGGAGCCGTCAGCCGTGTGCCTCGGTTCGAGACCGCTTAACTACCTCTGTTTGCTCCGGTTTTTGGCACACATCTTATTTCCTCCCTTTAGAGGAACACTGTCACCCTAGAGACCACCTTCGTGGTCATACGCCACTTCCGGTGCCTAACAGCCTGTTTTCGGGGCCCCGAACCGCGTATTTTGGCCCCCGAACCTTCGTTTTGCATCCGTTTTGGTTCATTTTTGGTGGAGACCCTATTTTCACTATTAGGAGAGTGGTGGGATGGTGGCCGGCCACCTATTCCCCTGAGAAGCCAATTTTCTCATTTTCTCTCTCCAAAAGCCGATTTTTCTGGCAAAAAGCTGGCTTTTCCCACTTTTGAGCCACATTTTCTGGCTTTTCATACCACCATTGTGATCTACTCATCTGGGAGGCCACCAATATGGGTAGGTCGACCAGTAGTTCACCTTGACCCTTTTGAACCTTGTTTAAAAGCTAGCGTTTCTCTCTCTTAGGTCACTTTTTCTAGTTTTTCTCCACAGGGCTGTGTTCTACTCATCTGGAAGGCCACCTCTCTGGGTAGGCCAACCAGCAATTGTTCTTGAACCTTTTGACCCCTAGTCGGCCGACCAGGGGGAGTGGCCGGCCTGCTTATTGCTTTTCCTCTCTTTGAGTGTAATCCAACTGTGCCAGCTGGAGATCACTTGGGGCATCCTCCATACACGTGTATGGAGGATCTTTCAAGCTTCCAAGAGAAGCTTTGGCCTCTCTTCGCTATAAGAGAGGCCCTCCTCTTTGTTGAAGGGGGTTAGACATTTTTTGACCAAGGCTTATACACCTCTCCTTCCATTGCTACCATTTCAAGCTCCAAAACCCTAACTTCCTTGGTCCATTTACACTACAACCCATAGCACCACACCACCATCATCCATTCCAGCCCCTTGGAAGTCATTTGCAGAGGTTGAAAGCTCATTTCCTTGGACCAAAGGCTGCTGGAAAGTTAGGCTACAAGGGTAAGCTCCTATTCTCCCCATTTTTGCACTATTTTGTTCAATATCTTGGCCCTTTTTTCTTACATTTTTGGGCTTCTGTCTGAACTAAAAAAATTCTTATATTGAGCTCATGTTCATGTTTTATTAAGGACTTTTCTCTGTTTGAAGTCTTCTACCCCCCCCCCCTCCCCCTTTGTGCTTTATCTCTCTTTTAGGGTTTATTTTGCATGATATATTAACCCTATTTTTGAGCATTTCTGGGCTTTGAGACAAACTGTAAAGTATCTTTTTTTGAGCCCCTCTTCAACTTTGTTGAAGGGCTCTTCACTGTTTGAGGCCATCTATTGCCCCTTTCCCTTTATCTCCCTTTTAGGGCTATTTTTGCATCATATTTTAGGCTTACTTGTGAGCATATTAGAGATTTTCCATAAACTGTAAAGTATCTTTTTTTGAGCCCCTCTTCAACTTTGTTGAAGGGCTCTTTGTAGTTTGAGCCCTTTTGCTGCACTGTTTGTTCTATCCCTCTTTTAGGGCTGTTTTTGCATGATACATTAGCCTTATTTTTGAGCCATTTTAAACCTCGACCTAAACTGAAAAAAATCTTGTTTTGATATCATCTTTATGTTTGATTAATGTCTATTCTCTGTTTGGGGTCATCTTCCCCTATGCATGCTTCATTCCTTCATGATTAGGGCCATGCATTAGAGCACTTGCCTTGGCCATGGTTTGGCCTCTTAGCCACTGAAATCCAGTGGATTTTCAGTGGCTTTGATGCATTTTTGAGGGCCAAAATTAGAGGGGGGTGACCCCCTCTCTCCTTGTTTTGTTTGGGGATCTTTTGGGCCTTCCAAAGGGACCCTATTTTGCATGCATCGAAGTCACTTTTCAGGCCTCATTCTGTGAGTTTTAGGGTCTTCCTTAGGTTTGTCTAGGGCCATTTTGATCATATTTCTTACCTATGATGCATGTGTAGAGAAATCTCATTCAAGGCCTTTCAAAGAGGCCTTTCTTTGCATGTTCCCGAGACTGATTCCAGGGCCTATTTGGTGGGTTTTAGGGCTGTCATAACCCATTTCCAGAGTTGGTTTGGTCTTGCTAAGTGTCTATCTTGTATGTGCTTAATAACCCCTTGTATGGCCCTCTAAAGGAGCTCCTCATTTTTGCACATGTTGGCTGCATTTCAGTGATTATTTGGACATATTTTCACAAGTTTTGTACACTGATTTTTGATGGTTTGATGAGATTTCATATGCTTCATATGCATGCCATGTAAACCATGTTTGCTAGTCAAAGTTGCATGCTATTTTAGCCCATCATGCTAGCATCTTTTGGTCATGTTTTGAACTAGAAATGTTCATGTTTTGGGACTGCCTTGGCTCTGTCTTTGTGCTTCATGGTCAAATAATGCATGCTTTGTATAGCTACAAGTCAATACGTGTGCCTAGTTTTGAGTTTCGGGGCTTATTCCATGCATCGGGTGCCATGTTTGCATGATTCGGGACCATTTAGCATTGTGTTTCAATGCTGAAAATTACATGTTTGAATGCCATGCTTCATCCTTGCCATGCTTTGGTAGAGTGGTATTTTATGCCTTAGGTTCGGTCCTCGGTTTGCGTACATGTGTGCACGCATTTCGGTTGTCTCATTTTCATCTAATGGCCACTGATGTGAGTGTGGCTGAGGTCCACTCATGATTGGTGCAAGTCCATTATGCATTGTGTATGCCTTTCAGTTCATAGCATTGCGTATGCTAGGTTGAGTGTTACAACTTTATGTATGCCATGTTACATTATGCATTGTGTATGCCATTTCATAGCATTGCGTATGCTAGGTTGTATGTTAGTCGCATTGTGTATGCCACCTCATTTGCATTGTGTTTGGGATAGGAGTTAGCCCGAGCACGGGAAACGAGGGATGTTTCGTACTCCGAGTGACGGAACGTGTCTCAATTCCCTGTCACCGACACTCCGGATTACCCATGATGGAGTTTAGGTCTTGTTGTGTTTTCATGTGCATTCATTTCATATCGAGTCGTGCAATTCGGCTCCTCGGCCATCATGCATTGATATGCGTGATTGGTGGCACGAGGATCGAGGACTACACTCCCTGAAGAG